ACAAAGAGATTTCTTGTCAAGGACATACACCTACAAGAGGCAAACACATTCCTGTACTTTAACTTCTTCCATTTTCAAAACTGAAAGAAAAAGAAAAAAAGCCACACTTCTGTGCATTTTCAGAGCTATTATCATATAACTACATACCAATCAAATAACATCAAAATTTTCTAAGTTAAGCAGTCCAGCTAATTAAAGACATTATGTAAATAAAACTGTTAACCAGCTGCAAACTTTTTAAAACTTTTTCTCAAAAAATCCATTTAAGAACTTTTCACCTTGACACGTTTCATGAATTGATATGGTACATAATACAATATCTTATGTGGTGGAGTTTTAAGTTGGCTTATAATTGTTCGAGTAACAATTCAAGCTTTAAGCTAGAGCTCAATTTCACCGCTGCCACTGCTTTTGGGATATTTTTGCCAGGGATAGAGCATTCCAGTCACTGTTCATAATGGACTGTCTGCTGCCAACTACTGACTACTTCAGTTACCAGGTATCATCAGGGGAAATCTCAGAAACTCCTGGGAACTTAGAAGGTGTACTTACTCAAATATCTGACATTTCTCTACCCAATTTGGGAAGATTTAAAATATTTTTTGGAGATTAGACAAAATAGTACATGATAATTTCCCACTATGCCAATCTCATAAATTACCACACTTCTAATTGTCAGCAACTTTTAGACTAACTGCAAAACTTCATGAAGCATTTGTGGAATGATGTACTTATGGAGCAAAATAAAGTATCTACAGTTTTAAAAACTTGGCTGGGTATATTCTAACAGATCCAAGAACAAATTTCAATGCAAGTTTTATTAACTATAAACAATAGAGGTGTATTGTTTACTTTTAATATATTTACTACAAATTTATATTCGGGAGCCATTTGACTTCAGGTTGATATTTGGATGTTTGCTATGCTATTACCTGTGATGGATAGTCATAGATCCATAGGAAAAGCCAAGGAATGACTGAAAAGTATTTAACAATTACATAAAGGCGTTATTAACTAGATTAGGTCTTTCATATTCATTGCAAATCTTTTTCTCTTACAAATCACCTGAATGAACTATTCTAATTTTATATTTCCAACAAATACGTGGAATACTGCTTAATATGGCAGTTTTTTGCTTCTAGGAATGTTTGGTAAAAGGTCCAACCAATTGTATCTTTAACTCAATTGTGTTAATTAAAACACCAAGGAGTCATAACTCACAACAAAGTATTCCCAAAAGCTTGAAAGTAGTGTTCTACTTTTCTAAACTTTTCCAAAAGTTGCCGATTGCTATTGAGAAGCATTAGCTTTTAAAACAATGATCTTGAAAATAGAATCTAATACAGAGCTAATCACATTCACAAAGGAATCTATGTGACTATCTGATGATGTTAATAATCTAAATCCAGTTACTGAATGCCCATATGAATATCAAATGAATTCATGCTTCACTATTTACTATTGTATGATAAACAGTTGCTATCTAGTGACTTCAAGAAAATATTTTCAGACTTGAATACTTTACTGGAAAGAAAATATCTAGATTCTCCAGCATTTTAATTCGTCCTGTTGAACAAAAAGCTGAGTAAGCAGATATTCATCAATCTCTGGTATTCAGTCACAAAACATTCTATTATTCTGGAACCAAAGTAAACCATCCATCTCCTGAGACCAAGAGTTCTTCTGAAAACTGTATTCTTCCTTTAAATGTTTTTTCAGTTAGTTAATTTTAAAAGATTAATTCTGATTATAAACATAAAGAATTTTATATTAGTTCCATCTCTTTAATTTAGATGAAAGTTAGAAATAGAAGGCATAAAAAGTTTTTGTGCCCAAATAGAATCACTTTGGGACCATGCATTTTTCTCAAATTTCCTGAAGACTGTTTCCCAATTTTTTAATTTAAATGTTTCTTAAAACTTGGAGTATCTGGTAGTGCTGAATTAACTTGCTGTCCAAATTCATAGAGTTATTTGTCTATGGCTTTAGGTTTGGGATTCTATCAAGTGACAAACAATCCTTTATAAAGCATTCACTTTTATATAATTTCAGCTGACATCAGATGGTGAATAGAGAATAAAATAATTACTATATTTTCAGTCTGAGTGAAAATTATAATTCTAGTTTACAAAGTTATATAAACAACTATATTACAGGTCCATCACATGCCAGGCACTGTCCTGGGCGTGAGAAAACATTGGTAACTAGACAGATATGGCCCTTCCCTCTCCAAACTTTACAGTGTGTGTTTCTAAAAGTTTTTATGTCTCATAGTTTGAAGTTTCATTTGTGTCCCATTTGTCTCCAAAACTCTCAAATATCCATGTATTATGAGACTTATTTAGGAAACTACCTCAGGAGTTTTAATCTTGGGTAATTAAGTATCACTCTAAGAGTGAAGTTAAATGAAAGGACAGAAAAAAAAGAGGATGCAGAAAGGTTCAATAAACAACTTTCTCAACATTTTATGGTTTCAAATTCCGAATATACCTTTTAGCAATCCACGTTTTTTCTTTCTGACAAAGATGCAATTACGTTTAGGTAGTTCTTTTGGTTGTATAAATTATATATCACCAGATATATAAACACATTGCTCAGATTTTTCCTTTACATTCCACAGGGAGTTTTATACTATATATTTGAGGAATGCATTGGCTGTTATCAATTAAGTTTTTTTAAACACATTTTCTATCAAAGGATGAATTAGTCATCATTTAAGGAAAGTTATTTGGTTTCCATATGCCTGAATAGAATTATTTAAATCCTTATGAAACCCAAAAATAAAATGGATAAGCTTACTTATGCAACCTTTACCTGTAGTTCTATCTTTGAGAAGGTGAATAAACAACACAGAACAAAACAAAATGAAAATACCTCATCTATAGCAACACCTAACATTGAAAAAGTATATTTATCTTAATTCTATTCAAATAGACCACGTGGCTTATTTACTGCTTAGTTTGAAATACCCATATTTTTATGTCCCTGGCCACCACTGTGGTTTAAATTTTTCTTATGGATTGGAAAAATACAAATCTGTTAAGGAAGACTGTAAGCTGTTAGAGCAATTTACATCACTCACTATTACCACCTTGGCCACTTAAAACACGTTCGTAATAAGGCGTCGACTTTCAGGAGCAACATTCCATTTTCTCAGAGAAACATGAAATCCTATTATATGCCGTATTTTTTATTGTTCTGACTTTCCACTTTTTCATAACTTGGCATAGAAAATGTTACATTAAAAAATGTATACTCACCTCCTTGCATGGAAGCTAGTTTTATGGACGGAGTAGATGGTGCAGTGGCAAAACTGAGATAATGAAAGTGGACGTTTACTTCCCTCAGGGAAACTAACAGGGGATCGTGCAAAACTGTATTGCACTGTTACTTGGCATACCAATGATAGAATTATTGGAATAATAGTAATAAAAACAAAAGCAAACACACACACACACACACACACACACACACACTGAACTACATACAGCAGTATTCAGAAAGATCAACATGCCAGAAACATAACTTGTTTTACAACCACGAACTTTCCCAAAGTAATTTTTATGTATCTTGAAGGCATTTAAACAAACATACTTTTAGAATTATACTACTGAGTAATCATTTAAAAAATAAGAATTTTCTTTTGGCAAGGGAACTCTCCTGGAATATTTTTTAATGCACTGACACTACCAAAATGCAAACCTATTTTTGATGACCATCACTAAGATTTTTTGAGTACCCAGACATATTTCTTTAAGGTATAATTTCACTAATTACCAGAAATGCCATATTTACGATATGTTATCAAGGCATTAGCAAATAAAACTGGCTTAGAAGGTTTTATAGTGTTGGCTATGGATGTTTTACTTTCTTAAGAAAACTTGGTCAACTAAATCATGGATACATTTAAAATGAGTTAAACAATTTTTCGAGTACGTGGTTCATGCACGCAATAAAGTTTGGAGACGTTGCTTTAAAGTCGTAGCACTCCATGTTGTCATGCAGACACTTTGAAATAATTGTATCATTTCCTACCATGTAATTGTATGCTTTTAAATTTACACTAAGTAAATTATGACAAGTATGAACAGGCATGGTTGAGAGAGTTGTAGAAAAGCCCTTATGCCAGAATGAACACATTAAAAAAGTAAAGCCCATGTCTAAAATTATCCTCACCTTTTTTTTTGGCATAAAAATGTAACATTTGAGGTGCTAATAAAACAGTTCGTAGGGCTGAAACGCACATACTGGTTCAAGAAAAATCTGTGCGTGCATGTGTGAGAGAAATGCATTTTATTTACACTCTGGACATTGCAGGATTGAAATAGCAAAGCAAAACAAAGCAACTTGAAGTTAAATAGTGACAAAAAGGATTAAGAAGGGCAGCTGCTGGAATCCTCCCTTAGTGCCTAAAAATACCTAAAGTTCTCAAAGATTTTCACAAGAATCAGTTCACAAAAGGTTTCTCTACAGAGTATTTTCTCTTTGGGAACTTTCCAGGTTTCAGGGATGCGCCACTCTAAAGGAAGTTACCGTACTGCTGCCATATTGTATTAGCAGTCATATTTTTCATTCTAATAATTAGTGGCTAATGAATCCTAGTTCCATCTTCATCAAAATTTTAACGCTTCCTGAGATATACTAAAATTGTATCTGAAGCAAAATACAACTTGCCATCCCACTCCTCTCAAAGTTGCAAGGCAACACAAAGAAAAATTCGGGTGATGCTAGTTGGAACCAGGACTGACGGAAGGAAGAAAAAGTTTACAAAGTCAAACCAAACTAAGCCCCTGCACACAGAAGCCCCCGGCGCGCACCCGCGGGACTTTACCTGCCCTTGTGCCTCGTCTTCAGTAAGTTCCTCCCAAAGGGAGCCATGGTCCGCCAGGGGGGCAACGGCGAGGACGTACCTCGGTTATCTGGGGGAGAGGGACGGTGGGGTGTCAGGGAAGGTGGGTTTCTAGGGTGAAGGGAGGAAGGCTGGAGGCCTCCCCGCCTCGGATGTTGCTGCCTTTCAGCTCGTGAGCACTGCTGAAAGAGTTGCTGGAGTTGTGCAACTGCCGCTTAACTTTGAACTGCGGGATCGCTGGGGCTGCCGCACCTTTGGAGACCTGCCCAGCTTCAGCCTGGAAGAAGGCGTTTGGAAGCAGGAAAAGAAAAAAAAAAAAAAAATCGAGAGAGAGGAAGGGAGGGGGACTCTATTGTGTTCTGCAGTTATTTGCGGACTTGCTAAACTTTAAGAACTGCCAACCCCACAAGCAGGGTAAAACCCATGGCATGGGAACTTCACCCGAGTTGGAAACGCCCCCTCCCCCGCTTTCCACACCCAACCACACAAGGTGAACTGAACACACACAAAGGGATCTGCAGTGAACACCCCCACCCCCCAGCCAGCCCCGGTCTGTGGGACGTGAGCTGATCGTGGCGAGCAGGACCGCGCGGGCCACGAGCTCTGCCTGGCGATTCGACCCAAAATACGCCTGCCCCGTGGCACTGCTGGAAAATGCAGGGGAGACGCACGGCGGCGCCCGGATCAAGGGGGCTCACGGGCCGCCCCGCCCGCGATCCTACAAGCGCCCCCCAGCGCCACGTCTCAGCCTTCAAGTTCATCCTCCAAAAGTTGACGGACCCGAAGGACCCAAGGGCTCCGGGGCCGACTGATCGCAGCACCGGCAAGGGCGCCAGCCGGGTCCGGGGTCCCACCCCGCGGCATCTGCCGCGACCCCCGCCGCAGCTCTTGTTACTGGGCCTTTCGGGCCGCGGGAGTTCGAAGGAAGAGCCACGGTTTTGCTCCCGCCCCTCAACTAGTACAGCGGGAGGGTTCGCGCCTGGAGGACTTGATGAAACTCCAGGCGCAGGGCCGGGCGCAGGCGAGCGGCGCAACCGGGGTCCGCGGCGCCCGCACCCCCAGCTCCCTGCGCCCGCAGGACCCTTCCCCGAGGTCTTTTCAGGGATTTCACCGCCGGCGCGCAGCTCCCCACGGCGCTCCCGCCACGATGCTTATCCCTGGCTTGCTCCGCGGAGGGAGCGGGGGGTGGGGGTGGGTGACAGGCAGCAGAAATCGGAGAACTGGGGGCTCACTCTGACCACTCACTCTTCAGGCTAGTGGCTCTGGGGACCTTGACAAAGAATTTGAACAGCTCACAAGTTCCTTAGGAGACCAGCCCTCAAAGAGCAAACAAAAATAATGATCTGAAAGGTTTCTATACTTTATTTGCCCCTATTTATGCAGGCTTCTACAGAACTCAAAAAATCCAAAATTTACTATCATAATTCTTCTTCTGTTCTCTATGTTGTGCATATGTATATTTCTATGGTTACACTACATATATATTTTATATAATATTTATTATTTAAATTTGTTTATATCATACAGAAATATATAAGCCATATATATATATATATACACACACACAAAATTTTTACAAATTAGAAAAGATTACAATAGTCAATGCTTGTTACCTTTCTTCTATGGTAATTGGTACCAGAGGAAACCTTTAAAACACCAAAACCAGTAATGACATATTTTGCTTTATTATGTATATATGTGTGTACATATGTATATATCACATACACACTTTACATGCAATATATAACAATCTTGCATATATTTCAGTTTCAGTTCTTGATTTCATTTTACAAGCACATCACAAAAAATGATTTAACCATTACGAAAGTTTGCCCAGTTATTCTAAGTTTTTCCAAATATAATCCCCTAAAGCAATATTGTTTACTTATTAATAGAATGACTGCAGTCAATTTACAAAGAATTTTGCATTTACAACTATCCCTGCTTCCTGTAGTTTCAGTTGTCCACCTTATTTACATTATGCATATGGAGTTTTCATATAAAACATTTTTCAGTAAGATTGTTGTAATGGAACAGAGGAAACATTCCATCCTTATTAGCATAATCTCATGTTGAGTTTCAAGTTAGCACAATTTGTCTCATTTAAGATGTTATTATTACTCACATAAAATATTCGATGAATAAAAAGTTATTTGATGTGTAAGAATTAAACACAAAGTGTTAATGTCCCTCAGGTATTAAAAAATAAAAAATAAAAAACACAGGCACTAATATCTAAATAGAAAAATAAGCAAAGAACAATTTAAGAACAAAATAAGAGTCATGTTTAAAATATCAAGTTCATTAGTAATGAGATAATCATTGTAGAGGTAAATTGAAGTGAAATTTTATTTTGCATCTACCAAACAGCCTAATATTTAAAATGAATATGCTCACCTCTGTCAGTATTATGGTTAGAGTAGAGTATTCTACACGAATAGCAAGGATTGGCGTACCCTTATAGAAAACAATTTGGCTATATATCAATAGACTTCAAAATATTCAAACTCATCTATCCAAGTTCATTCTCATAAAAATTTTTCCTAAGGAAATAATCAGTTTCATAAAAAGGCTTATGTTTATTGATATACATTTGAAAACGAAATGGAATTTTGCATACAAAGTGTTGCATATACAGTGTTAGACAAAGTGCTATTTTTTTAAAACAGGGTAGAAAGTAGTATGAAAAATTATCTCAACTTGAAAATGAAGCAATCTAATGACTGCAAGTACTTTCATTAAGATAGTGAAAGCATTTTTTTCTAATAGTTCCTCCCAAAGATTATCTGACTGTCCGGGAAAATGCATTTTTTAAAACTTACTGTTTATTACTGATTAGGCCTAGGCTTTGTGAAATTGATGTTAAAAATAAATGTTCAGGAGTGATACAAATGATTTTTGTCTAATAGAAAGATGACAAAAAAGGTTTTATTGCCCTATAAGGCATCAACCAATTTTATATCAAATTTCATTTTATTTCAGCATTCTTTCAATTCTCTAATTGTATATAGCAGTCTTTCCTATCGCCTTTTGGACCAAATTTACAATTCTTCTAGATCCCTTATTAATAAATTAAGTCAGTCTTTGATTATTGCCCATGATATATTTATATGAGATTCATACATTTCAGTTTTTTGGAAATTATGCTTTGAAAAACCAAGCATGCATCAGTTTTTTTTTAAACCATTAGGAAGTCTTCATAGAAGATAGTCACTTATCTATGTAATCGCTACATTTCTCAAAAGATAAAATGTGTAAAATAAGTTCTGATGGTAGTAAATGCTATGTCCTTTTGCTTATCTGTGAGTATAGAGCTCAGCCAAAATAGATAGAAAATGTCTATGTCCTTACATATTTAGATTAACATATACAAAACGAATATGGAAGAAAATACATTATACTTGATAATGAAAGAATTAATGAATATTTCTCCTCAATCACATAAAGACGATTTAATCTGTGGTTGAGTTGATCAAAAACTAAACAGGGATAAAATATGTATTCTGATAGAAAATCTGGTTTTTGAGGGAGGTGTAACAAAGAAAATAAGCATATCAATTCTTGGTCCAGTTCATTCATAGACCCAGCTTCTCTTCTTACTAGGAAATCCTTTTTTAATTGATTTTTCCCCAGTTTTATTGAGATATACTTGGCATATATATCACTGTATAAGTTTAAAGTGTACAGAATAATGGTTTGACTTATATTTATAGTGAAATGATAACCACTGTAAGTTTAGTTAGCACCCATCATCTCATATAGGTGCAATGAAAACAGAAAGCCAAAAAAGAAAATAAAATATTTTCCTTGTGATGAGAACTCTTAGGATTTAGTCTCTTAACATCTTTCCTGTATACCATATAGCAGTGTTAACTATGGTCATCATGTTGTACATTATATCCCTAGTACTTATTTGTCTTATAACTGGAAGTTTGTACTTTTTGACCACCTCCCTCCAATTTCCTCTTCCCCTTACTACCATCTCCAGTAACCACATTCAAGGCTTTTTATTATATGAACTTTTTTACTGTTTTTGTATTGTTCCGACTTTTAGCTTTAACACATATGACTTCACTTAAAGGGTGGCAGATAATAGTAGAGAAGTAAGAGCAGGAATTTTGAAGGTACCTAGAGATCTTGAATAAATTACTTGTCTGAGCCTCAGGTTTTTGATCTGCAAAATATAGAAAATAATAACAATGTAGTCTCATTTTCCAATGAATGTAACTTTAGGAGAATTGTTTCTCATAAAAAAAAATACCGTCTTATACGTAGGTGCTGTATTCTTATTACTAGAAACTTACTCTTCACATATTAATGATTAAATTGGCTTAGTTGTATAATTATCACATGCACAGATGTTGAGAAGAGCCAGTTTTCCCCACGACCTCCATTAAAAGAACAGCAAGCGGAGCTGAAGTTCTAGATCTTGGATAACCCACAAGTACGTGACTCTGAGCCAATCTGTCACCACTTATGTGGCAATCTGTGAGGAAATAACATACTGCACAGTTTGTTACAGTCAATCCGTTTATCTTGTGTACTGAAAACTCCACTCTCAATTAATGAAAAAATAATAAGACACAGAACCTGTTTTGTTTGGACAACAGAGAAGAACTTAGAAATGTTTAAAATAGGCAAGAAGAGTGAGATCAGAAACAGGATGAGCATTTGGGACAATCAAGATGCAGTTAAAGGTCACCATGCACAACAGAGCTGGTGATGGCAGAAGGTAGAAACCTCTGCACAGCCCGTGGAGAATAATCATTCAGTTAAATTCCAGAGCTATTATTATTACTGTTACTCCAATGTGTATCTATCTTCTGAAGTTCTTTCATGTCTCAAGTTTGCTCATGGTAGTAGTGATCATGTCTAAAAATTGGGATGATGTGACTTTTACAGAATCTTTGATTCTCTAAGAGGTTTTGGGCACGGAAGAAGTAACTGTGATGAGTGATTCAGGAAAAGCCCAGAAACAGAGAGTCCATCTCAGTGCTAAGATTCCACAGTGGCAATGCTCCTTTGATTCTCCAAAAAAAGTTTAGGGTGGCACTCCTAAGTTTTTGTAGGATTTATATAACCATGTGTCTAATTAGTCATGCAACTTCAATAGGCGGCTCCAAGCTTTTAATTAATTCAATAGTATTTAAATAGTTGACTGGCTGGCTGTTGTACAGATACTTGTGTCCTAAATAAAAGGCTGAATTTCTTCACTTAGTAGCCGTAGCTTTTATTAACTCTAATGAAATAGAGTGACCAACCCACATAAGAGTGGCTACTCCTAGAAGTTGCTCAACCTCAGAGAAAGTGTTGTGAGACCCAGATATTTTAATAAAGTGAAAAGTGTAT